CAGCCCCCGGGTGCCCCCAGCTCCCCGCCCTGCCAGGCTCGTGCTGCAGCTCTGGGAGCTCCCGGGGCGCGCTCGCTGCCCCAAGTCCAGCGCCTGGAGCCTCCGGAAATGAGCTTTCTTGATCTCGGCCTGCACCTGAGAGAGCAGAGGGGGCTGCTGTGCCAGAGACAGCAAACCAGCCTTGCCTCGCCTTGCCCTTTTCCCTTCCCTTTTCCCCTACCTCCCCTTCCCTTTTTCCTTTCTCTTTTTTCCCTCCAAATCTTTTTGAGAGCAATGGATCCAAGCTTTTTGCTTTGTTTATCACAGCCTGGGGCTGCAAGTTTGCCTTCCCTGACTCGAAAGAGGCTGGAACAGGGATCTTAGCTCCTCACTTTTCCCACTTACCTCCCCATTGCAAAAGCAGTAGATAAAAGCCACAAAGAAACCCTGCCAAGAGACCAAAAGAGGTGGAGTTTGAGATCACTGAGCCTCCCTGAAGGAAATCCCTCAGTGCTCATGTCAACACACCTGGGAGGAGTTAAAGAGCATCTCATAATGCATCTGGATCTGCCACAGGAGCCCGGAGACCTCGGTGTAGGGCATGGCCATGAACACCACGTAGTGGACTCCGAAAAGCGGCATCAGCACCAGCGTGGACTTGAGCAGCTTCCTGGAAGGAGAGAGCTCAGAGCCGTCACCCAGGAGCTGCTGGGCAGCCCCCGGCCCCTGCAGTGTCCAGCCTGGAGATGGGAGCAGGAAGAGCTCGGAACTCCAGAGCCAGGCTTCAATCCGGCAGAGCTGCCAGGAGAGCTGGTTGTTGCTGTCCTGTCAGTCTTCCTCACTCCTCCAGCCCTTCCCACACCTCTGCTCCTCCTCCACAGCCTCTGAGAGCCATCCTGCCTGAGCAAGCAGGACATGAGGCTGCCAGCACTTGCCTGTACTGCTGCCGGAGATCCAGCTTGCCCATGGTGGTCTCCCAGAGCTTGGAGGCCAATACCCGGACGATGTTGAGGAAGAGGAAGAAGTTCACCTGCCAACAGACACCCACGGTGGTGATGGTGCCCACTGTGACCTGGGGTCTGCCCGAGGAGCCCTTGGGGACACAGACAGGCAGTTCTGGGTGAGGTGCAGGCAGGGACATGGCAGTTGATGCTGTAGTCAGAGCAGGAGGGATCAGAGCCCCTGGATCCCTCTGAGCTCTCCCTGGGTGTCAGAGTGGCTGGGACAAAACTCCAGTGACCACAAGCAAACAGCTCTGGTCTCTATCAACCCTCTTCCCCCAAAAGGAATTGGGAAGTTCATCCACAAGATTCTTACCACGACAGCAGCCAGGATGGGGACCTGATAAATCCACTTCATGTTCCCTGCACTGAGGTCCCAGCACCTGAGAAGACCGGTAAAGAAACATCTTGGAGAAACCTGACACTACTGGGAAAGATGGTTCCCTGTACCCACAACCACCCCAGCACCCCCATCTCCCACTCTTCACCCCCTTGGTGGGCTTTGTGTAAATCTTGAGCTGTAGCTACAAGCATTTGTAACTGTCACAGTGAGGAGAAGCATAAGTTTAAAGGAGCATTAATGTTCCTGAGGGCTCCTTGGCCACCTCGTCCCAAACTCCTGCTGTTTGTATGGTGGCTTTCTCCTTTTAAAATGCCTCACTCCAGAATGTGCCCT